AAGGAGAAACGGGGAGCCCTGTGGGCACGGGCCCGCCCCAGCCGCCCGGGTAGCGCAGGGTCCCTCCTGCTCCAGCCCTGTGCCCCCCCAGACCCTCCCTCGCTCCTGAGGGACCGCTCAAACTCGCCATGGGGCCCGACCGCCCCCAGCACGGGGGCCTGGCTTTGCCTCGACCAGCCCCGCTCCTGCGGGGTCTCCGGTGTCCCCCTCGCCCCGCTGGCGCACACAACGGGGTCCTGCGTACCTCCTCGCTGCCCTTGGGCAGGACCCCTGCTCACAGCTCTCTCCAGACCGGGGGTCTCCCTGACCCTGTCCTAGTGCCGCTGCTGCTGGATGGACCCCCCCTGGGCAGGGGGGCTGAGGCTCGGCAAAGCCCCCAGCCCGGAGCGCCCGGACCCCCCCCCACGCGCCCCAGGGAGCCGGTCTCCCTGCTCACCTCGTGGGGCCGGGGTGCGCGCGCTGCCCCGCACTGCCGCAGCGACCAGGCCTCCCCGGCCGGTGTACGTTTTCTTGCTCATTTGTTGGTTTGTTGTTGCACATTCCAGGACATCAGTATTTTAACGGTCTCTAAGTGCCTTTCTATTGTAGTTTCTGGGTTGTTTTTATTTTCCTCCTGTTGGGCTCCATCGCTGTTAGCATAGAGTTTAAGGACTACAGAAGTAAGAGATAAGCTAACGATTATAACACTATATTCCTCCATGGGAGAGGAAGTTTATTAAGAAAACAATAAAGTGAAATTGAAGTAAGTTCCTGTCTTGGTCTGCAGTTGTGCCACCCGTTTCCCTGTGCCACCGAGCTGGAGGGCAGCGAGGAGCCAGAGTGCCGCAGCCGTGGGCCCGGGGAAGCTACAGACCCACAGTGGGGAGATAGGTGCTGCGGGCAGCAGGGGGGTGACCTCCTCGTGGCACCCAGGGCCAGGGAATGGCCACGCTGGACCTGGCTCTGCTGAGCCCCAGATGAGCGAGGAAGGCCCTGGGAGCAGGAGCGCAGGGACTGCCCCGCGCCAGCCCTGGGAAACCTGGGGCTGAAGTCTCAGCCCATGAACATCCCTGTGCCAGGGCGGCGGCCCGGCCAGGGGCCGCAGCGTGAGCCGCTGCCTGGGACACCCCCGCACCCTCCCGCCAAGGGCTGCCCCAGCGCAAGGGGAGAAAGAACCTGGCTCTGGCCCAAGGCTCCCAGCTCGCACGTGATGCGGAGCCCAAGGCACCGGTGAACTTGGGCTAACCCTACCTAAAGCCACTGTGAAAGCAACCTCCCTGAACCTTGATTTAAGCGCCAGCAGCCTTTGATGCCCCAAGGCCCAGCTGGGCACTTCCCCCCTTCCTCACACCACCTGCATTGCCCCCAGGTACCTCCCTGCCACAAAAACCCAGTGGCAACAGCTCCGGGGCCGCTGGGGCCTTGGCACTCGCTGGGGCGGCTGGCAGGGCTGGGGCAGCCTCCTCCCGCCCCAGGGTGCACAGCACGCAGGCCAGGCACTGCAGGACGCGACATTTATTGGCTACCTATAACTTATGGGTGCAGAAAGCGGGGGACAGGGATGGCCGGAGTCACGTCTCAGCCTTCCAGCCCTTCTCCTTCTCGCTCTGTGCCTGGATGCGGAGCTCCTCGTCTAGCCGCTCCTTGGCTCTCACCACCTGTGGGACAAGGGCACAGGGTGACACACGGCCCCTAAATGTGAATTGCTGCCAAATTCTTCCCAAATTGAAGACAGCAAAATGCACTGAGGACAGAGCAGGAAGGCTGCAAGACAGGCAGCCAACCCAGCCCCCTGCATCCCTCTGCTCTTTGCTCACCTTTGACTGCAGGTAGAAGGAGCCTCCCACCGACTTGTCGTTCACCTTGAACAAGTGGTTGTAGTTCTAGCAAAGCAAAACTCCCCATTAGGTGCCTCTCTGCTGTCCCCCCAACCCAGCAACCCCCAGCTCCCAACACTGGAGGCTGCTCTGTGCACTGCTGCAGCCCGAGGTCCCCAGGGCCACAGGGAGAGCCTGGTAGCACCTGGGTGCTGCTGGCAGACTCGGGAGAAAACTTGCCTGGTATCAGCTGATCTCAGTGACAGCACCCACAACCCAGGAGCCAAAATACATGGGATTCCCCCTATCTCCCATGCCCTGGCAGCCGGAGGAAGTGCTGGGCAGGGAGCAGCCTCTGGGCACCCTCCTGCAGCGCTGCCTGCCCTCCCCAGCTGCCTTTACCTTCTGAATTTCCTCCGCGTTGAGGTTAGAAACGTTGAGGATCTGCTGAGCTTCCTGGAGGCTGATGCCGCTGATCCTGGAGGCGGCAGCGGACTGGGGCCTCTCGGAGCGCCCCCGCGCGTCGGCTGCGGCTCGGCTCGCTGCCGGGACACGCAGTGGGTTAGTGCCCCGCGCGTCCTGCTCCCCGCGGGGCTGCCCGCGGAGGCGCCTCCAGACCTCGCGCAGCAGCAAGGCGGCCGGACCCCTGGCCTTCCGGGCGGGCCGTGGCCACCAAGAGCAACTT